CTTTTTTCTGTGGTGCTGCTGGGTGAGTTTGAACTGCCAACCTTTCGGTTAGTAGTCGAGTGCAAACCGTTTGCACCACCCAGGGACCTTGCATCACCACACTATTTCAAGTGAGTTTAAGATACAGTGATTTAACCATTCATCTCTACTAATATACACTCTAAGAACAAAAAGGATTGAAGGAAAAAGTCTTGAATTGTTTAGTACATCTTATTGGTGGTATTGGTATTGTTATTCTGAGGCTGCTATATGTGTATTGTGGGATAAAGCAAATGAGTAATTATGCTGGTGTCATTGGGAATGTGAATTTTTGGTATGGGGAAAAAGAAAATACAAATGTAAGATCAATGAGGTTAAGTAAAATCCATGCAGTCCTGATTATAAATGTAAGTATTAGTGTGAATAATTCATGATGTATTTTATCTTTAAATTTTTTTCTGCCTCTGTTACCCCAGAAACCTAACAGAGGTGGTATGTCAACTGTGTTACTTGGCAACATTGCTTATACTAAAAATGACCCCTGATTGGTAAATTAAATCTGGCCTGGAAATTCTATGTATAAATTATAAATACCTAATGGAAAGCCATAACTCTGGGCTTCCCTGCATATGATGACTTCACTTGAAAAGACCCTGGAAGTTATGCCTGTAGAATTGCTGTAAGAGATATTGGCTCCTCTGGGGCATTGAGGCTCCTAGGCCAGGGCAGATCTTGCATTTACCTGAAGTGAGTCTTGTTCCCTCACATCTGAGCTGTCAGGGGTGGGGGAGAAAGGGCAAGGGGAGGAGAGCTCCTGGAAAGCTATGTGGACTGCTAGGAGATTACTTTTATTTAAGAGGAATGCCTAATGCTGACCTGCTGGCAAGCAGTGCTTCCTGTCCTACATCTTTCTAAGTGAAGGTGATACCAAGTATAGCCTATGGTAGTCTTATGAGTCAGAATGGTTAGTAGAGCCTAATAATATAACCCTGTCATGAATGCTGCATAATTCATCAAATGCACATACAAACACACACACACACACACGCATGCACACGTGCGCTAGCTCTGTCCGCTGAAAACAATGACTAACCCAGCAGCAATGAGCACTCCTAGCACTTAGATTGTGGCCTCTAAATACTACTTCCCATTTAAAAGAAACATCCCTTCTTGGAGAAATAGCTAATTCCAGATCTGTGCAGGAAATGCATAAGATGTGTTTAGAACACTTGTCATGCCAGAAAGCAAAAAATTATCAAAATTCCTGGGGTCTTGTCAAAAGGACTCAGGAGTCAATGTGAAGAAGCTCCAACTGTCAAACCTGGAACAACTGGAGCATCAATAATAATAATTGCAAGGGACTAAAATACATCAAAAATATTTAAATCCATAAGTTCATAATGATATTCAAAACATAAACAAACTTCAGTGGTTACTTTTGAAAGATACTAGGGAGCCAACTCATTACCTTGAAATCTGCTGAGTAAAAAAGAAGAAACATTTTTCCTGTCTTATGAGAACTGTACCTCAGAATACATAACAGTGCCTATGAAGCATTTTTGTTAACACTTCCATCACCATTAGAGGAGTTTTTGAAGATCTGGTCCATTTCACTGCAATTCCATTTTTAATGGATGTATTTGTCACCAAAGAAAATCATGGTTGTTTTTTGCTTCCCCTCCCCACCCCCGCCCCATAAACAGAGATTCTACTCTCTTTCTACAAGATAAAACAAATTGCAGCATTTCCCTTAGTGGATTCTTTCTGAAATCAGCATATATATAAGAAGGGAAAAAATTAACCAAAATCTATTTTTCAGGCAATAAACAATTGCTTCAATAATGAATTTTACATCAACTTAAGAGATGTATTTTACTTTTAGAGCAACAGTTTCCATGATCTTGTAATCAGATTTTTTTAAATGTTTAGCAGTCCACATAACTTTCATGACAGTCCAAATTCTTCCCTAGAGCCTGCATCAATAGAAAAATCAATCACCAAGTACCTTCTACTCTAGTTTTCTAAATTATCACCATGGGATAGAGCCCATTTCATTTTCTCTTCAAATGCAGAAGAACTGAAAGTTAACTGCATGAATTACATATCTATAGACTACATTCTTGGAAAATACCAAGCCACAAGCTTGGTATGATTAAAAATTCTCTGATGCCCACAAATCAATTTCCTGCCTCATCAGTCCTTACTTACCCACTAGCACAGTGATGACCTTGTTGCTGGCATATTGTTCTATTTCCCGCAGCCACTCAGGAAGGCAACGGAAGGACTCCTCACAGGTTATGTCATAGGTGAGGATCAAGGCATTGGCGCTTCGGTAATAACTCTGGGTAATGGACCGAAATCTCTCTTGACCTGCTGTGTCCCAGATCTGTAGCTATAAAGGCATAAAAGAAGGATCAGGTTGGAGAAGCAGAGATTGCCTTGCTTTCGTTTGTGAATGAGAAGACCTTCATTTACATAATTGCATTATTATTTTCTGTCATGAGAAAAATCACTTATAATTTTCTCTTTTTTAATTTGCTAGATGCTCCTGGGTAGAGAGAGAAGCTTACTTGTTTTTTGGGTTTTTTCTTTGTAAGATTATTTAAGAGTTCCCCCTGTATTCTTAAAAAAAAAAAGAAAAACTTATCAAACGTTTATTATGTGCCAAGCTCTACTCCAAGCACTTTATATGTATTAACTCACATAGCCCTGACAATAACCACATAAAAACCAAACCAGTTGCCGTCAAATCATTTCTGACTCATAGTGACCCCATATGTGTCAGAGTAGCACTGTGC